ATTTTTGAAAACTAAAATATTCTTTAAAAATCTCAAAGATCTAAAAAATGATCTCAACACATTACTGTGACTTACTAGCAACTGAAACACAATTATAGAGTTATACTATTTGGATACAGTTACTCATAAAATTATTTGTATAGTTCTTGGACTATGAGAAGTAGAGAGAACAATCTACAAGTGTATTTTTTCTGCCTTAAGCAACATAATTATTCACATGATTTGAATGGACACACACATGAACTTTGAAAGGCATTGTTTTAAAGGCAGATGATCTCAATATATCCTGATGAATTACCAGGCTGGAATAAATAAAAAAGCAAAATTCATTTTAAGGATGAGATTTCAAGCACACGTACTATACTTAAAAAAAAAAAAAAATCTCTGTAGACCCTAAATATATCAGCTGGATAGTCCTGTCGATGAATTCTAATTAGAGTTTGAAATAAGTACAGAGTGAGGAGGATTGTTGGCTCCGAAAATCTGTAATTCTCACTGGGATCTCTTGACAATGTGAACTTAAAAATCTAAGTACATGTTACCTGAAACATCCAACCAAAAGGATATAATAAAAGAAGACTAGCAAATGTTTCTATAATATATCACATACCTTGCTAATTCAATCAAAAACTTTGCTGGTACTCACAAGATAAACTTTGCTCTGCCTTTTAAAACTGTTATAATTAATGAAAAATTAAGAAGACCATTAGATCTAAGTCTCTTGACGAACATAAGGCATGTACTATATATCCCAGTAAACGAATCTTTTACTTTGACTTTTAAATTGACTGAATTAACATCATCTTTGGATTAAGAAAAATAGTTACATTTTTATCTATAAAAACACACTCTGCAAATTTTTACAAAGAGGAGTGAAGAAAGACCTAAAAATGTCAATTCTACTATTTGCATCTTTAATTATATCTAACTCTAAAATTCCAAGTAAACAATATTTATAGGTATGCTTTTAAAACTAGATTAACTTGCATTCTTTTATTTATTTTGGGCAAGTAGGTTTACTATGCATCTATATACTGTTAGCTTCCCAAAGAAGCTTTATCTTCTACTTTGATTCCCCTTATAATTTGTCTTACTACTACACATATAATAGGTCCTTGGCAAATGGAAAAAGAATCACTTGCTCAAATGAATCTGAAATTTTCAATGCAAATACTTCAAGACCTATGATACTTCTGCTAAAAGATATTCATGGAAATTACTGAGGCTATCAAAGCTGACCTACTGCCTGTGTTCCTGCCTATTCAAGATGCTATTTTTTGGTGAAATCAGATTCCTCCATATTGGAGCTACAAAAATTGCTTTTCAAGAAATTCAGAAAAAATAAAACTACTACTTTGCCTCTGGAATGCTAGGTACTTTTAAAGTTCTCAATTTTAGAGAGGAAATGAATGAAATGAACTTTTCTTTTAAAAATAAAATGTTATTAACACTGAGGTCGGCCAGGTGTAGTAGGTAGCTCATGCCTGTAATTCTAGCACTCTGGGAGGCCGAGGTCAGGAGTTCCAGACCAGCCTGAGTAAGAGCAAGACCCCGTCTCTACTGAAAACAGAAAAAATTTAGCCAGACATGGTGGTGCATGCCTGGAGTCCCAGCCACTTGGTAGGCTGAGGCAGGAGGATCTCTTGAGCCCAGGAGTTTTGAGGTTGCAGTGAGCTATGATCACATGTCACTGCACTCCAGGCAGGCAACTGAGACTCTGTCTCACTTAAAAAAAAAAAAAAAAAAAAAACCCCAAAACACTGAGGTCTATCTATTACCACTTTCATAAAAATATAGTTTCAGCTTTACTTCAACTTTAAAATCCATCTGAAATAGCATCTTTAGGGTTGATTCTGGACTTTGGCAAATAAAGCTTGTCTTTAATTTGAATGAAGTTATTTCCTAATTTCCCTGTATGTTATTTCTAAATTTTTGAATACTAATTTTCTTAAAATGAGTCATACCTGGATAAAAGCAAAAACCTATATACAGATAACAATCACTTGAAATAATCCTCCTCCCCCCCACCCCCCAAAATCATAGTGTGACCAGATCACGTCAAAACTTTGTCACAGAGTAACTACCTGGAAGCACACCATCACATTTTGAAAGCACAGTATTTCTTAAGACATACCTTTACAGAGTCAGCAATTTCCCGTATACCCTTAGCAGCAGCGTCTTTTATGATTGGTGTAATTAAACCTTTATCTGTTGCCACAGCTACTGAAATGTCAATAAAGGGCAGTTGCTTTGGGCCTTCTCCATCCCAGCTTACATTAACATCTGGCATTTGCTAAAAATAGAAAAAACACGTTATTCAAGAGATAGCTTTAGACCAAGGTGGTTACAGAAAAATAACTAAAATTACTATGCATTTTTCAAAGTGACTATATCTAGACAGAAGGAAATAAATATAAATTTGGTTTGAAAAAATGGTTTGGATGTCTGTGTCAATTGTCCTTTATGTCTGGAAGAATAATTAAACACATCACCTTTTCAAAGCAAACTTGAAGAGAAAATTCTGATGATGTACATGTTTTGATCTCTTTATGTCATGGTGAAAAAAAAAAAGGCTCTCTTTGTTAAATCTGATTGCTAGAAGGTATTTAATGTTTGTTATACTTCCTGCCTCATACAATGACCGGCGTGATTTTGAGGGGATTGGAAAAGGGCGTTATTCCTTTGGCATGAAGGAAGTCTGACTTTTTAGCCCAGCACTGTGATATATATTAGCAGGCCCTCAGTAAATGACTTCTCTATTTCAAAAGAGATTTCTTAAAGCTTCCTAAACATGATATATACCATGTATGAGCATACATACGTTTAACACACAAACTATACTGAGAATAAAAAAT